TCTTGGAATCAAATTAACTCAAAAATGTCGGGAAAATGGACTCAAAAACAGAAAAAAACGGGAATCGGGAATCGCCTCAAAATGTCGGGATTTTCGTGATTTTCCCGGCCGGATGAGAGGTCTATTGATAACTATCGTGGTGTTGCTTTGCAGTGTGTAATTTCGAAGATTTTGGATTCCATCGTTTCAAGTCATCTTAACTTCCACATTAGAAGTATACTTGATGATAGCCAGCATGGATTCGTGAAAGGAAAGTCTACAATAACACATTTGGCCGAATTTACATCGCGTGTAATAACGAAGATGGACAAACACATTCAAACGGACGCAATTTATCTCGACTTAGCAAAAGCGTTTGATTCTGTCAATGTAACGCTGCTTATCCAGAAGCTAAACATCATGGGCTTGAACGAACAATTGCTTGGATGGATTGAATCATACCTGAATGGACGGCAGCAGATTGTCAAACTAAATGATGTCATGTCAAATTCCATCAACGTTACTTCGGAAACTGGTCAGGGCTACCCAATTGGCGCAACACTGTTCATTTTATTTATAATTGACTTGCCACATCACACACTCGAATCAATATTACAGTCGTTTGCTGATGATACTAGACTATGGAAACACATTGAAAATTTTGAAGACTGCCAAGAACTGCAAAACGATCTCAACAAAATTGTAAAATATTTCCGGGACAATCGACTAAAATTGAACATCAAGAAATCAAATTGCATATCATATCACCGTGGACAGTTGCAGTATGAATTTGAATATACGATAGACAATGAGAAGATCAACCGTGTCAAAGTAATTAAGGACCTCGGCATTATACTGGATGAGAAAATGAACTTCAATGCACATATTGAGTTCATTACCGCCAAACCAAAATCAAGATTGGCTTGGATAAAGCATTTTGGAAGAGAGTTTGAGGATCCATGGACTATTAAGAAACTCTTCTTCACTTTTGTACTGCCAATTATAGAATATGGCTCCCAGATTAGGAACCCATACACTGCCGACAAGATTGCTAGACTTGAATCCATACAAAAGCAATTTTTACTATTTGCACTGCGCAGAATGAGATGGTCAAACGGATTCAAATTACCATCATATGAATTTCGATTGCTGCATTTACAAATGATTCCCCTTGATGAACGAAGAAAGATTGCTCAAATATCGATGGTGCATAATGTACTATGTGGACATACATCGTCGAAATACATAACCAGCCAAATAAGAATCAGAACACCACGGCATCGGACAAGAGATATAGATTTCTTATCACTACAAATAAGACACCATAATTATTCCAAATTTGAGCCCATAAATAACATGCTTATTACATATAACGATTTTTATAAGAAATTTGTTCCTAATAAACCGCCATATGCAACTGATGCATGTGATACTAATGTTATTCCAATTTGTGATACTTATCTAATTGATTTCAATGTTAGTACTGATACTGTTAAACAGAGGGTAACTGAATTTTTTAAAAGAAGTATACATAACAAATCTTGTTGATCATATGATTAACAAACATACGCGAAAAAGAGCACAAAATCTTGATACGACTCTGTACAGTCAGAATAACGGAATATTAAGTGAAAATAAACGCGAAGTGTTTTGTTATGTTCCTGGTGTCATGAGTAAAATTAAGAATCGTTTGAAGAAACACAAAATAACACCGGTTTATTCAAATAATCACAAAATTAAAAATCGTTTCGCGTCGACAAAAGATAAAATTGGTGATAATTTGAAATCGGGCATTTATGCGATTGAGTGTGGTGTGTGCAAGCGCCGCTATATTGGGCAAACGAAAAGAAGCATAGCAGTTCGATATAAAGAACATTGTAGTTGTGCAAAGAAGAAGAAAATGAGAGAGTCTGCGTTTGCCAAGCATGTAGTGGAGAGTGAGCACGGAATAGATGAAAATGACCATAGCATTGAACTGATTAAAAGTGTCAATAGACAGAGCAGACTCGATGCGTATGAAAGTTATTACATCGAGAAAGAGATAGCACCATTGAATGCGGAAAGCGGGAACATACAGTCCTGCTTATTTGCATTGATTTGATGCTGCGAATATTTTGTTGTTGCTGATCCAGCTGTTTTGCGTTGTGTTGGTGTGTTGTCGTTTTTTCGTCTCACAAATCACCGGCAAAATTCGAGAGTCGTGTCAGTGCTGATGATGAACGCCCGTTGAGCGTTTCGAAATGCGCATTCACTTTAAGTAAGTACAATTGTGTATCATTTGTGCTACAATAGCAAAAACAATAAGGTGTTTCTCAACGAAATTTCGATTTTGTGTAACAAAAAAAAAAAGCGCCATACATTTAAATATTGGTGAATATGCTGAAAAAAATTCGCACTTATTTAATGAGTGTGTCGCATGTGGATGAGATAAAGCAAAGCGAAAGAGAAGCGCGCTACTAGAACATAGTCAATGAATACTATGTGTTTGTGTCCGTATTCTAACGATGGAGTGACGAAGTGTATGCACGTTCGTTCGTGTGGAGTTGCGCGCTTCTCTTTCGCTTTGCTTCATCTCATCCACATGCGATACACTCATTAAATGAGTGCGAATTTTTTTCAGCATATTCACCAATATTTAAATGTATGGCGCTGTTCATTTTATAAATTCAGTGCTGCAATGAAATGAGTGTCGAGAATGAACGCAGTTGATGTGTTTATGTTTATATTCCATTTCAATGCGCCATCCGAATGATTATAAATGAGAAAGTGAGACGCACACACAACATCTTTCAGATTCAAATGCCAACCAATACATACAAACGCACAGCTCGCTCCTTGCAATCGCAAGTCGGTTGCTTGTCATTCGTTCGAAATGTCATTGCATGTCTCTTTCAGCATTGTAGAGTGAGTAGCATGACTATATGTTATAAGGCGCAGAATTGCCAACAACTGTCAATGCGGTCAAGACATATCGCTCAGACTGTACAATATATGGTTATTTTATACAATAAATAGTTGTAATAGTCTTTCTCGATTGGTATAACAATTTGGTCTAAAAAGCATTGACACAAGATAACCTAATCAATACATGGAAATGCATAGGTAGCCGAAATGTAAACGGTCCAATATAGCCTAACTTAAACGTGTAAAAAATGAAAGACCAACTGAAGCGTTAACACTGTAGTGACGGCCCTAATGACTGCAAAAGTCATCATTCAATTTATCCAGAGGTGATACATTGAAGAAAAATTTTACGTCTAATCTAACAAGTCCCTGTTGGTAGTTATGAATTTGTAATTTAGTAGAGACCGAAAGACATAAGAACAAATTTACAATACTTGCAAATACATTAACCTAAACGGTAGTTTCCATTATAAATTATAAATTAATGGCAGGTCAAAAGTTGATCACCAACTCAATGAATGGCTATATCACAGTTAAAATTGCTACTTATTTTAAAGTTTGTGTAAAAATCACGGATAAATATCATTATTTCTATACATTTTGTAGGGATGTAAGATAACAATTCGTCAATATTTTGTATTAAACTTTAGGTTTTCTTCGCTGCGTACCGACGAGATAAAGTTTGCACGGCTGGTTGAGTTGTTGAATTGATCTGCTACTTTGTTTGCAAACTTGCACATTTGAGGCACTTGAGCTCTGATTTGTTTGTCCATGAGCTTATCTTTAATCTTGAGGTAGTCTGTGTGCCGTAAGATACGTACGCTCTCTCCAATTGCTATGTCGTTACGTACATTGGGACAATTTGCGATCCCATTCACGATGTCGTACATGAATACAATAGATGCATTCACTCTTCTACGCTCCAACGATGTCATGTTCAACGCCTCAAGTCGTTTGTTGTAGTCGGTGATACTGTAGCCGTTTGCCGCTGTACGGTATTCTCTTCGGGCGAACTGGGTGAACTTTCTCAACACGCTCTCAATTTTGTCGATATGTATGGCATAAGTTGGCAGCCATACAACATTGCAGTACTCAAGATGAGACTGAACCAGTGCGTAGTATAGTGTTTTGAGCGTTTGAACGTCGGTTATGTCGTAACAAAATCTTTTGATAAATCCCAAGGCTGCTGTAGCTTTCGAAGTGATCGCGTCAATGTGCTTGACAAAGCTCAGCTTCTGGTCAATGATGACGCCGAGATCTTTGTGGTCCCGTACGCGCTTGAAGGTAAAATCACCGTATTTGTAATTAGTGTCGATGATGTCTTTCCTTTTTGTGGTGATTGTAAGGACGGCACATTTGTCAAGGTTCAGGTGCAAATTGTTTACGTCGCACCAAACCTTCAGCTTGTCGATGGCCCGCTGTAGCACTTCCGCATCCGCGCTCGAGTTGATGATTTTGGCAATTTTTACATCATCAGCGAACAAGGAAATGAACACGTCGTCCATTTCGTCCACTATGTCGTTGATGAACAACAGGAATAGTGTGGGTCCGAGATGACTACCCTGTGGTACGCCAGATGATACGTTGAATTCATTCGACTCGCTGCTCCCATACTTAACGAATTGAGTTCGGTTTGACAGGTATGATTCGATCCAAGCAAGAAGATTTTCTGGCAGGTTGAACGATCTGAGTTTCAGAATCAATCTCTTGTGGTTTACTCTGTCAAACGCTTTACTGAAGTCCGTGTAGAGAACGTCTACTTGCGCACCAGAATTTATGCCTCTCTGGGCATAGTAGATGAATTCGGTGAGATTAGATGCAGTAGATCTGGACTTCATGAAGCCGTGTTGCTTCTTGGTGATTTTGTCCTGTACCAGAGACAGAAGTTTGACGTTCACCAAATGCTCGAAGAACTTCGCCACAGTTTGGAGCTTAGCTATGCAACGGTAGTTCTCTATCTTCGATCTGGCCCCCTTTTTGAAAATGGGGGATACACTCGAGCGTTTCCATTTATCAGGGAAATGGCCAGATTAATGCCCAGAAAAACGATTTCATCACTCTGAACTAACGTGTTTTGGACTAATTCGTATTTTTTTCATTATTTTATGTAAATTTAGGCCAGAATCCGCCCGTACTTTGAGTGCAAAAAGATCCTAGTGATCAATTATAAGCAGGTGAAAACAGAAAAAAACAGCTAAAAAAATTGAGTGTCGGGGGACAGCCAAAAAAGGAGGGAGAGAGGAAAGTTCCCCAAAGCGATAATCAAACATTGAATTTTGGACATTTTCAGCATATGATAATTTTAGTGGATTTGGTTCAAATTTAATTATTTTGTGGAAAATTTTAAATAAAAATCAATTCTATAACTTTGTTGAAGATAACATTTCGTTATATCTTACCTTTATCGCGAAAAATACAAAAAAACATATTCAAAATTCACATTTTCCATGTTACGCTTCTATTGAAGCGACGATTCAAGTAACGTTTTTAAGAAACAAATTTCCAATTGCGTTTCAATTCAAACTTCTGTATTCCTATTTTCATTCTTAGCAACATTTTATTTCTGACACTGCAGCTAGCACATTCCACCAATAGGTGGAATAACTCGAATGAAAAATTTGATCGAAATACAATTAAAAAATTGAAGCACAAAATGGGATATAGATAAAATACCGGCCATTTTGCGAATTTTGACTTCTTCATAACAAAATGCCGTCAAAATTCTAAGTCTTTTGTATTGGAACACATGAATTTCAATTCGATGAGCATGTGAGATTGGAACATTATTATGTATTTTTGATGCACATCATGGGATTTAATTGTATCTTTGCTTTGTTGTCCAAGGTGCATTTTGAAAAACCGAATTTCATTTGTCAGCAAAAATGATCAAATCACGATATTTTGTAGCAAAAGAAGCGAAATCATTTTGTGTTCCAAACGCAACTTAATTTATTGCGATTACCATTTGTCATATCGGCCTAATATTAAAATGTTTCCAATTTTATCATTACTTAATTAATATTACTTAAGCTAAAACCTTTTCTTTCTACAAATGTCTGAAATAAAATTATGCATCTTAAAATCCTTTTTGTTGACAAACAACCATGACGTTTTATGTTGTGATTTGTGTTTTCAATCTTAGGACATTATTTAATTTTACACGATGTTTGAGTGATTTCACATTTTAGTCATCATAATAAATTGAATTTTCAATTGATTTACTCTATATTTTCATAATCCATTCTTGTTTGTTTAGACGTATATTTAACTCTAAGATTCTAAACTATTTGAAAAAAATTAAGTCTAGAAAAAAGTTAAACTGCAACCGGAGCGAGTCAAGCCGGTGAGGTCTCATCGCGTGATGCGTCACTGAGAAACAGCGGGACTTTTCTTCTCGGAGTCTTGACTGGAAGGTGTTGTGCCTTGTGGATTACCGCTTCCTAGGTTAGTAAGAGTCCATAATTATAGATTTTATCATAAGAGGTAAGCAACTAAAAAGGTTCTATAAAATTCTTACGATCGACGTTCCATGAATTTGGTCCTCCGGTAATAGGCGAATCTGCATGTCCAAATCCGCCATGATTATCATGATCCAAATTAGTTGAGTCGTATTGCGTGTTCTCCAAACGCGTTATCAGACGTTCATCTTCATCTCCGAACTCTCCACCCATGAGGGAAGGTTCTCCAACAACCATCACATCCTTTAAAAACATTCAAAAGCCATTTGTATCGTTGATTAATAAACAACCATTTCTTATTTCGAAAGAAATTTATAGTGCAATCGAAATAAGAAATGGTTGTTTAAACAATAAACTATAATTATAGTGCAACCTATAAACTACCTGAGAAGCTAGACTAAAATTTGGACCAGGAGATCGCTTCTTGCTGGGTACAGGTGGAGCACTGTTCGCACCACTTCCTGAATTCGAACCTTTTCTTTTTCGACGCTTATTTGGTGGTCTTTGTGCATCTATATAAAAGATATATTCTCCGATAAGACAATGCAGTGAGATCAGTTTATTGAATGTATAGGCATACACGTTCCACTCGCCAGGAGGTAGTGTAAACTGACTTTTCGATGACATTCAATATTAAAATATGCAAACATTGTCGCACTGGACAATGTCTTGAAAACGTGAAAGTGTTATTCAATCAGAGAGTATTATGATCGCAAATTTGTATGTCAAAAAGTACCTCGCTTACCCGGCGGAGCGACCATTCGCTGCCATTTTTGAAACAGAGTAGTTTTCAGACAGTCTCGTGGATTCAATGAATATGCCTTATGCCTGGACATAAGTTCTTGCATTGGCTCAAGTATAACACACAGCTGTGTAAAATTTCAAAAGAGAACAAGAAAGACAATATCAAAACTTTGTACAGTTATTATAATTTTAATCTATATAAATTAATCTGTGTTTATTGAATGAATATGTATTTATATCACCACTCACGCGTAGGTAATTTAATGTTGAGCTCGTGATACCCTGCCGTGTTATGTTCTTGGACATTTGATCCAGCATATTTGGATCCGGTTGTGGGGAATGCGCATGCATTCCAACAACAGATTTTGGTATCAATTCACGGTGATTTCGTACAGCCATATGCCAAGATTTGATTCGCATATAATCATCATACACAAACTCTAATAATAATCGACCTTCTGTGCAAACCTAGAATTGGACAAAGCAAAATTCAAATTTTATTTTATTATATATCGCCAAAAAATCTGCTGAATAATAAGTTTTGCAGGGAAATAACTCCAAGAGTCATGAATAACATGATCTTTTCGTGTTTATACAATAAGGGTATTACATAAATATTAAAATTGGAATTAGAAAAAAAAGTTGGTTCATTTCACAGGATCATCTCAATATTACCTTTGTAAACATAGGCTTGACCGTATGATGTGTTACCATTGTGCATTGGTCACAGTCTAGTGTTATTGTAGGATTATGAAATGATTCCTTCGCTAATTTCAAATGAAAATATAATTCTGAAACACCACCATCAAATATACTACGGAAATACCGGGGAATCAATGTTCGTCCAATTGCTTTAAAATGAAAATGTTAGAAAGTTATTATTAAATAAAAATCAAAAATTCTACAGAAATACTATATCGTTTTGGGCCATCTTCCAAACAGAATGTTAGCGTTAATGATGCATCATCTTCGAAGAATTCTGTAGCAAAAGCATCCCACCAACAATTATCACTTTCCTGTAAATAAGAATTTATAAGTAATCTCAAAAAAACTAAACTAATGAAAATTGATAAATGACCAAAATCACAAAGAGTTTCGAAATTTAGAAATATTTTTATAATCTGGAATCGTCAAATCGCACCAGACAACGAAAATGAGATTTGAAGCGGTAAAGTTTTTACGTCGATTTTCGAAACCCCATTTAAGAAGAGTTTACATTCATTTAGTCATTTTTAACGTAAAAAGATGTAACGTATTTAGGATTATTTCCGTCGAAATCGAATGAAATTTCAGTGTAAATCAACTGTATGAAAATAAATCTACTAATTGGCGCGTGAGTTAGAAAGAAAGCGCAGAACCGACACTTCTCTTTCATTTCATACAACGCAACACAACAGACTGATTTGTTATCGTGTTTGGCGTTGCATTTGTTTACTTTGATTCCGTTATATGTAAGAATGTATAATTTCTATATCGGAAAAGATTAAACACGAATGTCATCACGAAATAAAATTTGTTGAAGCTGGCATCGTTTGAGTAAAGTTTTTGATTTGAGTGTGCGGTATTTATGTCAAAACCAAATTCATCTTGTCAAACCGATTCTGGTCGCATTCATATCGATCTTGGCATTTTATAGCTGTGCTCACGATTTTTTTTTATCAAGATATCATAATAAACTAAAAATATCGTTCGATATCGTTATTATGATGGAATCTTAATAACGCTATCAACTTTTTATCAGGATATTAACTATATTCAAAAAATAACGTTATCGGATGAATCTTAAAAATATCGTTTGGAAGTTATCAACATCGAATCCTGATAATTTATCAACATTCAATCTTAATAATCATCAAGTTCTGGAAGTGGGTTTTGGTGGATCCTCAGGATCGACCAGAGCTGCTCCCAGTTCTGGAAGTGGATCTTCAGGATGGACCAGATCCAGTTTGACACTGCCCTTGGCCCATCCTGAAGATCCACTTCCAGAACTGGGAGCAGTTCTGGTCGATCCTGAGGATCCACCAAAACCCACTTCCAGAACTTGATGATTATTAAGATTGAATGTTGATAAATTATCAGGATTCGATCTTAATAACTTCAAAACGATATTATTCAGATTCATCCGATAACGTTATTATTTGAATATAGTTATTAACCTGATAAAAAGTTGATAGCGTTATTAAGATTATCGGTATTATGATCGGATCTCAATAATCTCTCAAAATCATTAGGATGGTTATTAAGATACGAATATGTCACAGCTATATGGCATTTGAAGAGGCAAGTCAATTGTTGTAAATATTGTTCGATTTATAGTGATTGGGTTTTTTCTGTTTGTTCAAATTAAGTAATTTAGTCAATGTTTTTAGGTAGAAAATACATATTATCTGATTACACTGTGCAACATTTTTTCGATCATGGTGGAGGAACTCATTTTTGATAATCGCTGCTGAAAGTACTTACCAAAACTAGAATTTCTGCATCATTCGTTTTGCCAAGTTGGTTCATTGGTGAATTTTAATGAAATTATGTATTTTTTGCTCAAACTGGATTTTGAGAACTTTTTCGATATTTTGAGACGGCTATATCTCGGTAAACCGTAAGGAATATTGCTTTTGTGTCTTGGGCAAAGTTGTAGGTATTGATCGGGAGGAAAAAAATGAAAAACATACTTACCCAAAAAAATGCATCTAGGGCCTCAAAATCACAAAAGTGCCCATTTTTTACCATTTTTCAACCATAACTCGCAGCGTATCCAATTTTTATGGCCTTTGTATTCAGCAATTTTGTAGTCAACGTATAACTGCACAACTTTACTCAACTTACTAACCCAGAAAAATCATGTTCTATCTACCTTTTTGGCTCAAAATCACTTTTTGGTACCAAAAAAGGTCATTTTGTTGTGAATTTTGGCCTAATACATGCAAATATCTGTATATCTTTCCATATTTTTCGCTTGGATTTTTATTAAAGTGTCTCCACGGATAATACGGACTTGTTTTTAAGCTAGTTTAGTGGAAAAAATCGCTCATTTGTAGGGATATTTCGAGTTTTGGACCAATTTTTGAGCGTTTGGTGGACATTTGGCCAAATTAAGACATGACAGCGGTCATATTTCAGTTTCTAATGTATGCTACACTAAAGCTTATGTTCACAGCTAAAAAATAGGGCCAATACGATTCACCTATGATGTACAGTTGCAAAGTTATGGATCCCCAAGTGATGACATGTCGATTTTTTGCACTATTTTGGCACTAATTATCACTTGAGCAGCCATAAGTGCCCAACCACACGTCACAGGCAGATGGTATTAGCCTTATTTTTCAGCTAAGAACATCAGCTTTAAAATGCCATACCGCTTGAACTGAAATATATCATCTGTCATTTATTTATTTTTATTTATTTATTTATTACGAAGCCTACATTTATGCCAATATGTGTTCCCAGCAAACATGTGTTTTAAGATCGCTGAGCATCTCAGCATTTCGTAAGGCACGGATATATCCGAGCATATCGACGACGCATACTGTATAATACAGTGGCGTGTGTTGCTACGTGCAGCCGCAACGACTCGACCGAAGTGTGTTCAGTTGATGTGGCTGCACGCAGCAACAACATACACATTCCGGTCGAGTCGTTGCGGCTGCGCGTAGCAACGCACGCCACTGTATGCGTCGTCGATATGCTCGGATATATCCGTGCCTTACGAAATGCTGAGATGCTCAGCAATCTTAAAACACATGTTTGGTTCCCAGCAAGCTGAGAACATGCTGGTCAGAGACCCAATACGGCATAAATTCCGCCCATGGTGCGTCTTTTGCAAAGAGAATACAGTCAGGGGAGGGATGATATAAAATTGAGGCTTTCATACCAGAATTGGGTCCGGAAAACCATGGTAAAACCGGCCTGATTCAGGAAAACCAGGGGAAATACAATGATGATGAGTTTTTGCAATTAAAGTACGTTAACATCAATGAGAAAAATCAAATGAAAAGTCAAACTTAATCTAAATTGGATAAGAAATTTCATAACAATGATCCGAGTAATTTACTATTTGAAAAATATCTAAAAATTTACTGCGTGGAACGTATCAGATGCTTTAGGTTATTTTTAAACGCGACTAGAGATTTAGAATTTTTAATTTCGATCGATATACTATTCCAAAAATTGATTGCAGAGAAACTAAATGCGCGAGTATCGAATGCAGTACGCGGACTGAAATTCATGCGAAGATTATCTGGATAACGCGACGATTCACCATTACGAACAAACATGCGATTCAGATACTCAGGCGAACAATTCGACAACTGCTTGAATATCAAGACTGCTGATTGCAGTTTTGCTCTGCTCTCAGGAGTCAATCCACTCAAACGCTCACGATATTCAGTAACATGATCATTACGTTTTAATCCATAAATGTATCGAATCTTGTCGTTATCAGCGACAAGATCACGGTGCACCTGATTTTGGGTGCTGTGGGCGCCCCAGCCGTATGTTACCACATTTCCATAATCCATTATGGGATCAATCAGAGCTACAGCCATATCACGTTTGACGTAATTGGGTATAAATCGCTTAGTGTGACGAATGCGATTCAACACGCCATACACTTTTTGCAATTTACACTTGTCATGTTCTTGAAAAGTAAAGTTTTCGTCAAAAATAACATCAAGGTTCTTTATTGACTTACAGAATTCGATTTTTTCATCACCCAATTTCACTTCATTGATCATATCAAAATTCAACCGACCCGTTTGATGCTTTGATCCAATGATCATTACTTTTGACTTTAAACTATTTATAATCATACCGCGACGTTTAAGTAAATCATTCAATTTGGCAAGGTCCGAGTTTATTTTATCGATACCGTCGTTAATTTTATCAAAATCCACTTCGATATGTGCTTGACAATCATCCGCGAACAAATGGCCTTTCATATTTTCAAACAAATTGAGAGTATCATTAAAGTAAAGAGAGAAGAAAGTTTGGCCGAAATTACTACCTTGCAACACTCCATTATTAATTGGAACAAAATTTGACTCTTGATCACCGACTTTAACTTTTTGTTGAATGTTACTATAAATTGATTTAATTAATTTAACCGCGCTATTAGAAAAACCATACGATTCACAAACTTTTAAAAGAGCATCATGAGGAACTGACGGAAACGCGCTTTTAATATCAAGAGCTAGAAGAATTACTAATTTTTTACGATTCAATGACGATCTGATACTCTCCGATATGTTCAATAGTGAGGTGGTACAACTATGGTTTTTTCTAAAACCGGATTGCCGTTCGTGAAGAATAGCATTTGATTCTATATAACCAGTGACCTGGCTATTCAATAGAATCGCGAAAATCTTGGGGATGACTGAGATTATGCTGATTGGTCTGTAATCAGCAATTGATTGGGGGCTTGTTACTTTATTAAGAGGTTTAATAATGACTTTATTCCAATCAGCCGGATATATACTATGAGAAATACAAAAATTAAAAATGTAAACAATATGCTGGGCAATTGAAGGCATAATTATTTTAAGGAATTTAAGAGGAATGCCGTCGTCACCAATTGCATTACTCTTAATTTGTTTAAAAGCAAAAAGAAATTGATCAATGGTTATTTCGTGAAACGAGAAATTGGAATTAATATTAGTGGGAAGTGACAAATTGCCCAAATCGGCCCCAGGAGAAGCGTGAATTGACGCAAAGAAACCATTGATGTCATCCAGATTGAAATTATCTAGGATTTCAGAGTCATTTTCGAGTCATGACTCAATGTTCACCAAACCACCAAAAATTGGTCCAAAAACCAAATTTTTTCCATGAAAATGAATTTATTTCCTCCCAAATATTAAAAAACAGTACATTCAAGCTTATATTATCTGTACCAATGTTTAAGTAATTTTTAAAGATGATTTTCAATGTATATGAGTGAAAAATTTGATTTTGGGACCATTTTTGGAGTTTGTGGTGTACATTGAAGCAGATTAGACCATGACAGATGATATATTTCAGT